AATAGTATACAAAAATACTTGTTGTTTCCAAATACAGTTTTATGTTACTATATATAATGCTATATATGTGTTAACTATTAATATTTATTCAGAATAGTACGAGAAATTGATTAATAAAAAAAATCAGAATAGTATTTAATAAAACGAATAAGATTGAATTTTATAATTTATAATTCGATTCAGTTATTAGAAATATCCTAAATAATATTATATCTATTTACAAGGAAAAATCCCTACTCTGAAAATTCAAAAAATTATGAAACTTTGAGGATATGTAATACTTATGTATTATTTATGTATAATTTTTTCTTTTTTTTTTTGCTGCTCGAAATCATTTTAAGAGGATGAAATCAATCTTTAAAAATTTGACATTTTTACATTATAACTCACTAAATATAAAAAATACAAAAAAATTTTCAAACAAAAATTATTTCTTTTTATAAGAATTATCGTCTGTTAAAACATTTATTAATTGTTTATACAATTTTTAAAAAAATTATAAACAAAAAAATTAATAATTTGTTTTTTAACATAAATTTAATTTCAAAAAATTATACGATAGTATGCAAAAATACTTATTGTTTCCAAATACAGCTTTGTTATGTTACTATATATGCTATATATATGTTATATTACTATAAATGCTATATATGCTAACTATTTACATTTTCAAAGGAAAATTTATATTTATAAAATATATATTATAGTTCTGGTTTTTAATTAACATTGGATCAGCGTGAAAATAGAAGATAAAAATAGAAAGAGAAAGAAAAAAGAAACTTATATATATAATTACTTTATAAGATATTTTTATTTTTAATGTTATCAAATTTCTTTATTTTTTATGTAATAAAATTCAATAAACAATAATGAAAGAATAACGAATAAAGATAAAAATGTACAAATAATTAAATAATATTATGAACTACTTTTCATGATAATAAAATTCTAAAAGAATATTATAAAGATAAAAACTTGTTGCATCATATACATCATATAATATGTAGTATGATTGTCACATATAGAATAATCCATACGAAATCTTGTTACGAAAAAGCGAATTTACATTGGATTTTTAAAATTATTTGATTTTTATTTGATCGATGTACTCTTATACTATATATAAGTAAATACATAATATTTTGGTAATGGAAGAAATGACTGAGATCAGAAAATTTCCATACAAAACTTTTCTATATATGAAAATCAAACACACATATCATTCCTGTCATTTTAGTATTGTAAATATTTCTACATCTTGATTAAATGGTATGCTATTTTATAATATAGATAGACAATGACCAATTCAAGATTTCAATAATAAAACATTTACATATTCGGTAAATAAACATTTGTTAATTATTCATTAAGCAATTCTTATTAATTAACTTCATTGGATATGTTATATAAACATTCCATGGTCGAAGTAAAATTTGTTCTAAATAATAAATAATAAATGTGAACCGAAATCTACAATTATTTCTTTAGAACAATAAAAATCAAAGAAAGAAAGTTTCAGAAAGCTAATATTGGAAATATAGTGTAATTATACGTAGTAGCGGCTATATAAATATTAGATTATCGTAACATTTGTATTATTGTAACACTTTTTATTCTTTTGATAATGTATAATATATAAAAAAATTAAGAAGTTTGTTTTTTTCAATTATATTAAAAATAACATACCTTAAAAATAATTATGTGTATAAATTTATGTGTATAAAATTATGTGTATAAATTTCGTATAATTATTTAAGTAATAATTATGTTTCTTAAAATTTTATATTAAAAAACAAATTTAAAAAGAATTATTAATTTTGTGATTTATAACTTTTTTATATGTGTAACTTTTTTATACTTGTATAAATAATTAATAAATATTTTAACTAATATAGTTAACTATATAGTTCTTATGAAAAGGAACTTTGTCTAAAAATTTTTTTTGTATTTTTTATAGTTAGCGAGTTATAACGTAAAGTCGAAATAATTGAATTTTCAAAGATTGATTTCAAGTAGCAAAAAAAAAAAATTGCGTAATACATAAGCACTATATATCCCTAAAGATTAATATAATTTTTTGAATTTCCGGATTGGGATTTTTCCTTGTACATTTTATCTTTTTCTTAAATAAACATCGAATTGATGACTAATTTAAAATTTGATTATTTTCTATCTCTATATTAAAGGATGAACGAAAGTTTAATATTGGAGAATTTAATGAACAAAGAAAGCGTAATACATGGATGTTCAGTCATGGTAAATCCGACTATGGATTTATCGTGCAAAGATACGAATTCAGATGAAGAAAGCAAAAATAATAATGGAAATCAAAATGTAAATATCGATGATATAGATGGAAATACTGATCTAGAAACATATAAAATTGCAGTTTCTGTACATGATGAACAAGTTCAAGATACGAACTCGTCTTTAAAATCAACAGCTAACATTCTCCACATTTTATCTACGAAAGAAAAAATGAATGGAAGAGAAAATGATGATACTAATTCGACTATTGTAACCAAAAGTACTTCCAGTGACACTCAAACTTCTCTGGCAACATCCATATTTTATACAGAAAAAACTGTACTTGGTGCATCTACTAGTTCTCTTACATCAATTTCAAGCTCAACTAATCCATATAGACCAGCAGGTCCCGCAAAACATCGGAGAATAACTGGTTATATCGATGAAAACGACTTAAGCACGCCATATAATCATTACAGATGTCTCTCACCAAACGAACATTATGGCAAGTCTTGATATTTTTCATATATTCTAATAAAATCTAATAAAATCTTAATTTTTAAGTTATGAATTTAATTAATTATTCATTTGATCTATTTTTTCTTTATAGGAAGAAGTACAGGTTGTCGTTTTTTAAAGAGACAATTTAGTCTAGATCGTTCCGATGAAACTGTCTATGTTGGTTTCACTGAGCAAATTAATTATCAACAACAATTACAACAACAGCAACAGCAACAACAACAATTATTATCACAACAAAATTTGAATATGACACCAAAACTTTATAAACAAAATAGTGCGGGTGCAGCAAATGATTTGGAACGTATCGAAGAAGTACCGTCTACTCCAACCCCTGTTCTTCAACACTATAGACAGGCAGCATCTGTTTCTCTCTCTGTAGAATCATTAACGCTCCGTTGAAAAATATTACATTTTTAAACGATAAAAATGTCTGTCATAAGCATTACTATTAAAATTCAAAAAATGACAATCGTCACGTATCCATACGAATCATTAGACATATTATATGAACGATATTAAATTTATAGAACAATGATAATAGAATTATGGAAAAGTTATTTACTTATTGTGTACTTATCATTATCTCTTTCATCCATATAATATTATCATAAATCGATTGATCTTTGATTATAATATAATAATCGCGAAAGATAGAGAAAACTTTATACCTATTATCGCGAATGACAATCTCTGTTACATAGACACATTCTATGCATATGTAGCTCTCGTATTATGTAAATATATTATATTGATATATGTGCAAAATTCTATTTCCATATTTTTTCTGATTTCTTTAGTTATTTCATAACTTAAAATCAAATAATATTTTATTGTTGTTATGCATAAAATGCACAATAAATCAAATAATTATATCATTAAAATTGTTCATAAAATTTTGCTGAAATATCATAATATACTATCATGTATTCATATTATTATATTTTCACCAAGAGAGAAAAAAAAATGTTATCTTTCTTGTAAATGTATACAATCATCTCCGAATCGTTGACAATAATAATTGGAAAACTTATAATATAGAAACGTAAATACTTTAACTCTCTCTCTTTTTTTTCAGTTTTTTTCTCTTTCTAGTATCTATCGTATAATTCATAAAATACACCGTAAAGATTAATTAAGAGAATTCTTCGACTGTGTATATATATATATTTCAAAATTAATGATAAGTATATTTATTAATTATTATATAAGTATATATATTAATTACAATGAATGACGCTTAATGCGCCAAATAAATTATATCCTTTTGTGTTTTTATATACTGCATAAGTAACTGCGTAAGTATAAGAAAAGAGCATGTATGAATGTATGTTTAATGTGATTGTGAAATAATCTGTATATTAAATACATGTGTACATAACGCACGTAATGTATAGATGAACAATTTATAATATTGTAAGCGTTTATAAGTGAAAAATTTACAGAATATTTTCAATAAATTTTTCACATTGTATCGCTTATAATACATAAATATATAATAAATGCAGAAAAGAATTGTGATTGATAAAGAGATGTAAAAGCACAAACATTTATTTAACATTATACTTGTTAAATATCATTTGACAAATTTGCGATCTCTTCCCCATAACGATGCGATTAACAATATGAATAGTACGATAAATTATTATCTAAAACGTGAAAATACTGTTACTTTTATTATGTAACAGTATATAATTGGGAAATAAAATTTTATTGATTAAACAAAAAAATAAGATATTTTTACATTCATTTTTTTTTATTTAATACTAATAATTTTTTTAATAATATAATTTTTGGTAAAAAGATACAATATTCTATTATATTTATTTAAATCATTTTACAAAGTGATAATGTACTATATATATTGTATCTTATTTTATTGTATCATATAATGAATTCTGAATATATAGATAAATATATAGGCGCATATGTATATATAAAAATAAATCTCAATAGAAAGTTAAACATAAATATATGTTTAATATATAATATGTATAAATTATATACATATATATCATATATTATATAAATATATATCATATATATATGTATATAAATACACATATATATATATATAAGTATATATATTATCTTTTAAATTTTTATAATTTTTTTTTGCTGTTCTATAATGGATAATTCATAATTATTATTTTCCATTTATTTTTGTGATTTTCTTCAATTGATGATTTTTAATATTACCAAGGCCTGAAAAGAAATATATGAAAGAAATGATGAAAGAATTTTATGCATACTAAATTATATGATGCATACTAAATAACAAAGAAATAGCAATAAATAATAATTTACCCATAAGAAGAAGCATCCTTATATTCAACATGTACCGGTTTAAAAACCGAAGCAGGCCTTTCAATTATTCTTTCAATAAAAATAGGTTTATCAACGTATTCTACATATTTCACGGATGCTGGAGGAGGAGACAAATATACATGATGAACTTCTGGAGTCTTATAACCAATCTTGTATCTAAAAATTATAAAATTAATCAATTTATATGTAGATAAATTTGAAAGAAATTGTAAATAAAAATAAAAAAAAAATAAATGTTCGTCGTGTAGATATAAATTTTTTACCCTTTTGCAACACCTAATCCAAAACCCAAAAGTCCCGCACCGATAAGCTTTTTCTTTAGCAAAAGTGTTCTCTTTTGCCTATTTAATACAGCACCTGAATATTGTTCATTTTCTGGTTGAATAACAGATTGATCAAAATTCGAAAAATTATTCTCTTCCGATGATAAAATATCTTCTTTTGCCACTGTACATGGCATAACGTAACAACAAAAAACAACAAAAATTGTAATAGTAATTAATTGCATCTATCATAAAAAAAATTGCAATTATTAAAATATTTTAAAAATAAAATAATTAAATACATTGATTATTATATATGATTATTTACATTCTCTTACCGTGTTTCGTATCAAAGATCTAGGAATAATCTTAAACACATAGAGAGTGACAAGTCGTATGTCACATTTTCGATACCTTCCCTTGATTTTATACACAGTTGCCTACCTTCGAAGCAGCAAATTCTCCCACTTATTCGAGTGATCAAATTCGTATTGAATCCCTACTTAAACATTGTGATCCATTTTCACAATGAACATTTGCAACACAACTAGACTCAGTTATCATGTTTCTTCTTAGTTATTGAGTAATTCATTAATTTTCTAAAAATTATATTAACTGACATAATTAAATTACTAATTCTTTACATAAAACTCTATTTATATATATAGTCATTTCAATAATTTTTTCAAAATATAAAAAATATTTATTAAAAATATTACTCAATGGAACGATATAATTTGTATTATAAAAAGTGCTTAAATCAATGGTAAATCAAAAGATAATAAAATAAAATTCTTATTATATATATATAATAAAAAGTTATGTAATAAGTATATAATAATTGCTACAAATATATTAAATTTCTATATTATAAAAAATGATGAATAAAAAAATAAAATAATAATTTATTATCGAAATTTAATAACATAACATAATAACAAAATAAAAATATTAATTTATTGTAAAATAGTAAATATATTTAATAAATTTTTTTTTTGTTTCATAATTATATACTTCATTTTCATTTAGAAAAATTCAGAATTTATAAATAATTTATTTAGAAAAAAAATAATGAAATGATTATTTAATAAATAAAAAAAATACTTAATAAATTCTTTTTAAATTTTAATGTAACAAAAATTTAAAAATAACTTCAAATTATTTGAAACCTTTCAAACTGTTTTTAAAATTAAATGTTTATTAAATGAACAATTTACTTATATTTTATTACATATTATTTAATTACAATAACCAAATATAAATTTAACATACTATATATATATACTAAATTAAACAGGAGACTTTTGCTTATATATTTAATATATTCTATATTCACTAAGCATTCAAAAAAAAGGTATAAATTTTGTTGTATTAAAATAATTTAATTGTAATATTGTATTATTATTCTATTTATATTAAACAAACTAAAACTTGTATAATTAGTTCTAAAACATTTCTATCCTAACTAATTATATATAATAGATATTATAATTCATGTAGAATTATAGAAGAGATTATAAATCAAAATCTCATAAATCTGTTATCTATTATATTATTTTTCATCAAGAATTTGTTTATATATTTTTTTCTTATAATATCTAGACTATTTAGTTGTTTGCAAAAATAATATATATATAATATATATTTGTATATAATTGTATATATTTGTATATAATTTAAAAAAAAATAAGAAGAATAAATTGTACTTTTAAAAAAAAATTATAATTTTTCATAATTGCATAAAATTTAAAATTGCAATGGAAAATTAAAAAAATATGATATCAGGTTTTATTATGTGATATATCATAAAATTATAATTTAATGAAAAGAAAGAAAAAGAGAAGAAAAAAAGGAAAACAAATTAAAACAATAAATGATAATAGAGACAACAGAAACAAAATCGATTCATTTACGAAATATATTACATTCGTTAACATGTAATATTATATCGCACCTATAACACAGGTATCGCAAGTTTAACGAACAATCATTGAATACTAATGAATTCAGCTCTACCATTTTCGATTTACTTATATTTTCAATCCATTCAATGAATCAAACGTGTGCATTAAGTAACGAATGATACGTGGCAAGAATTGAGAATACAGATCATAAAAGAGAAAGGTTACAAAAGTAAGAGAAAATACGAATAAGAATGCGTTTACTTTTACAATGTTTCGAATCATTAGGTATTCGTTGATAGAAATCAATCTCGCAACATTTTCAACTACGTGTTTTAGTTTGGAATATGAATTGCTTGCTCAATTGATTCCTGTCATATTTAAATAATTTTCAAATAGAATTTTTACTACATCAATATATTGAAATTAATTACCATATATAAAACTTAATTGTCATAAACTTAATTTAAAAAAAAAAAATATGAGAGATAACATGTATGAAATAACATATTTACATTTCAGAATTAGCAAAAAAGCATTTTTTTTTTATTTTTATACAAACAAAAATAATGTATTCATATATATATTTACTTATAATGATTGTAAAATTTTCTAAAAAAAATCATACAATTAAAAAACAAATTATTCAAATTAATACATAATAATACATTATTTATTTCAAAACATGAAACAAATTTTAATTATACTTTCTTCTGCAGTTTGATTCTATTTATCATGTTTATGCATCAAAATGTAAAAAAAATAAATTTATTTCTTGAATTATTCTTTTATTTATCCTTATTTATTATTATTTATTAATATTATACCACGCGTATTCATGAATTAGTCCCAATTTGATTCAACATAAGTAGGTGGTACATATTGATAGCTCGCATATTTATCTCCATAGCCACCGCCATAACTGATACATATTGAAGATTAATCGTTAAAATTATTGTATTAAACGTTACAATAAATAAATTAATAATAAAAATATTAAAATTAAATTTGAATCTCAAAAAATATACTCACTATTTAGCTTTATACAAACCAGCTCCTACAAGTCCAACGCCGAGAGCCTTAGCTCCAAGAACACCCAATAATAATGATTTTTTACCAATTATAGTTGCTCCAACGAGCAAAGGTAATTTAATTAAAGGAGATCTCTTAACACGAACTATTTTTTCTTTCTCAATTTTGTTGTTGCTTATAAGTGAAGCACGATTTTCTCCATACACAGATAAGGTATGGATATAATTAACAAGCAACAATATTATCAATATAAAAAAATATGATTTCATCTAAAAATCAAAGAAATTTAAATTTTATATACGATTTTTAAAAGGAAAAGAGAAAGAAGAAGAAAAGAAAGAATAAAAAAAATTTTTTAAAAATAATAATAATAAAGAAAATTATAATACAATGAAAAAGAGAAAAATATAACGAGAATGATTAATCAAATTTTAACAAATTATTATGAATAAAAAGAAATTTTAAAAAATTTAAAATAAATATAAGAAAAAACATTAACCTCGTTGAAATTGATATATTCGTTTGAACAAAATATTCGGATGCTTCAGACTGAATGACTTTTATATATGAGAAACCGAGATTTTATCCCTTCCATATTGCTAACATCTGTTCCTAGTTTTAAAACCGGAATTCACAAATCTCTTTCTGAATTTAAAAGTCATTTTTTACTTTGGCATATCCCTTCTTTTAATCTTAGCTTATTGAATTCATCTTAATTGGTTAAAATGTCTGAATATTTCTCCTTGAATTTATATTCAATATCGTATCACACCATATTGTGATTCATTTTGTCATAAATTAGATGAAAACTTTGAATTTGTTATCATTATATAATATACGTATTTATACAATGTAAAATAAAATATTCGTCGAAAATTCCAGAAAGAATAGAACTTTATGCCGATCATACGTACTTTCACTAAACAACAGTTTCTCTAATTTTAGAACCTTGAGAATTCTACTAATTTTAAAGACAAATCACGAAAGAAGAAAAAGTGTTAAGTAACACAACATTTTTACAAACCATAATCATATAAAAAATATTAATAAAATTACTAAAAATATTAAAACTTAGACAAAAAAATTGAAAGAATTCAATCATATTTTATTTTCATATTTTATATATATAATAATTTCAATATTAATTATCTATTAATATCTATTAATATTTATTATTATAATATTATATAATATTTATAATAATTTAATAATTGTTTTTATACATATTATTCCACTTCAGATTTCTTATAATGAATATATATAATATAATATAATATAAGAATATGAATATATAAGCTGATATTGAAATCAATATTCTCGATTAATCGAAAAATATTCATTTAAATTCATTTCGCATGAATATCAATCAAATCGAAAAGAATAATCGCTTGAAAAAAATAATTAAAGAAAAAACAAGAAAAGGAAAAAAAATTTGTGAAAATAATTTTATCAGAAATTGACATAAAATGGGCCCTAAACGGAAACGAACTAGAAGAGCACGTAAACCACTACGTACTGTGCAAGAATTGAAAAAAGAAGCATTCTCTCATGAACTTAAGCTTAGTACTTTGAACACGAAACGTTATCAAAGTTTCTGGAGAGAAATGCTTACACGTATAAAAATGCCCGATATCTACAAAAAGATTGACATAATTTGGCAAACTTTGGAACATGTTTTCGATCTCAAGGATTACAGGTACAACAAAATAATAAATGATCAACTAAAATAAACATACATATATGATGGAAATTTCCTACATTCATATAGCATCAGTTTATTACTGGATAGTCTACAAGATGCTGAAGATCAACGTCGTAGAGCAAATGGTGCTCACATAGAAATATTCAATCGATCTTTGGAAGCACATGAAGCTCGACTAGCAGATATTGATAACTTTTTCCATCAAAAAATTAAAATAGCGTTAGCTGATAAAGTCTTTACTTTCGAAAATATTAATTATCATCGAAATCAGAAAGAAACTATTTTACGAAAAATTAACTTATTTGTAAATCAACGAGGAGAAAATATCGCAAATATCGCAAGAAGTACTGCGTTTAGTAAGTAAGTTATTATTAGTTTTTATTATATTATATAATATTATTAAGATATTATCTATAAATACTTTTTCGCGATTATATGATCATACTTGTCTTAATATTTTTATATAATTTTCTTTCTTTATTAAAAATAAGAATATCATTATTTTTTGTTAAAAATTTTAAAATATAAATTTTATACTTTTTCACTTCAAAGGTAGAATTGATGCATTTGTGGAAGATGGAGATAACGAAAAAAGAACAACTATAACGTTACTTCAAAGGAAACTTGAAAATCTTTGGAACAACTTGCGAAATGTTTATTCTGATTATCGCAAAAGTACATAAATACCAATTAATAACTAAAAATAATTTGTAAAATAATGATTTGTAAATATTTTTTATAATCTTTTCTGTTTTATATTTCATTATAATAGATACAGAAATGCGGCGAAAAGATTACGAGATAATCAAGAATAAGGATCATATTGATCAACAAATAATAACTAAACAATATCTTCGTATCGCGAATCTTCTTGATGAGATCGTGAAATATCGTAATAAAATTAAATTTCATGGAAGAGAATCTGGAAATGAATTAGAAGAAATTTTACGAGAATCAAATTTTTTTCATAATATCTACCGAGAAACGAACGAACGTTTTATTCTTGGTATACATTTTTATATATATATATATACGTATATATTTATTTTTATTATTAACCGATTAAATTAACTGTAATCTTAATTGATCAGGTCATAAAAAAGATAAACATAGAACGATGACAATGTGTAAAGAATATAATCATAGTGTAAAACATATGAAAGCTTTGATGGTCAAAGCTGAACACATACTCGCTTTTATGCAAATGTGTCGAAAATATGAAACACAAGATGAAAAAATTCTTCCAATAATGAATAGTCATCCTATGCAATTATCACTAACCGAAGATAATGATATTATTCCAATTCAAACGGTTAGAATTCAATTCTTTTCATATTTTTTAAAAAAATAGATACAAATCACATCTATAGGATTGATTTTGTTTCACTTTTTAAAATTTTTTTTATATAAATTTTTTATACTTTAATCTATTTTCTTGATAATTGCAATTTATTTTCAATATATTTCTAAAACGATTTACGATTTACCTGCTCCTCTATTGAGAAAAAAAAAAGATCGCAATGATACAATGAATTATATATTTTATCTCCTAATCTCTTTTCTCGCTTTTTTTTTTCACTTGCTGTCCTTTTCTATATTTATATTTTTATATAATTATTTTTCTATATAATATATAACATATATAATATATATATTATATAAATATATAACACAGTAATACACACAAGACAATGACTGGAAATGATCACACAAAACATATCTATTCGTTTCATCGCTAGACGTGACAAATGTAATATTTTTAAATTTTTTACTAATATAATTCCAATATAATTCCAACGTTACAGATCGATCTTGAACAATGCGTTATGTATAGTTATCTATAAAAATATTTTAAAAATTGGAATTTGTCACTTTAATTAAGAATGATATCAATTATTAAATCAAAGATATCGAATAGAAATGAAATAGAAAAAAAATAATAATGCGAATGCTCATTTTGTATAAATATTTTATTTATTATAATATGTAAGAATTGATGAAAATAATTCAACTAAACATGCTGAAAATTATATTACTACTTAAGAATTACATTATATATTTTATATATATATAATATTGTAATTTATACATAAATACATTGACATATAAAGGGAATTTTTAATCTTTCAAGTTATATCAAATCTATTATGTACTACAAAAATGATTCGCTTAAATTTTCGAATATCTGTTCTAGATTATATTTAAATTATATACATAAATCGTAAATCGTAAATCTTTGCAATATTTTTACAATTTCTGAAAATTTTTTTAAATCTTATTTTAGTAAAAATTAATATTTACGAAATATTTTTCTTATAATTTTTTAAGAAAGTATTCATATAAAAATTTTCTATTATATTTAAGTGCTATTTATTTCTTTATTACATAAAGAATTTTAAAAATGTTCATTCCATTGTATATAGAAAAGAAAAACAGATTATTATTATGCTATCAAAATTGAAATCTTTAATTTATTTTTAGATTACGAAAGATTTTGAACAAACGATTAATTTTTGGCGTCGATTAGGTTTTGCACAATTAATTACTGCAGAACTTCAAACTCAAAAAGATAAATTATTGATGCAAGCAAATGATCTACGAAAATTAGTGAAAGACTATCTTGCTGATCAAACAAATTCAACATAATTCAATATATCTAAGTCAATAAATTAATACAAAAAAATCTTATTAAAAATTGATTTATTATTAGTACAAGTGGATATCATCGATCATAGCCATTTTTATATATGGAATAAAGCAAAAAGTAGAAATATCAGAAAATTTTAAATTTTTTATGCATGTCTGTAACGAAAATTATAATTACACATATGTTTAGATATATTTCAATCTTAACAAATAAAATGTATAAAAATTACAGACTTATTATATATTATTATTATAATTGCAATTTTAATCTGTTTCACATTTAATGAAAAATAGTATTGCTATTTTTTGTATTAACCGAAAATTACACTACTATAGATACAATAAATATCATTTCATAGAAACATGAAACATAAGTAATAATTCAAATTTATTTGTCACTTTTAACGATTCATTCATTCCAGCAAGGCCAATCTTTATGCTTTTCTCAGATTTATTCTTTTTGCTGAATAACTTAATTTTCACAAGTGATTATAAAAATATTATGCTTTAATGAATTAACGTGATTTATGTTTATGCGCTATTCGAGATAACATTTTATTGCCTGCGAGAAATGTGACAATACCAAGGCCTACAAGATATCGAAGAGTAACAAACATGTTTAATTTTAACCAAAATATTCCAAAAAGTGTGAAAATACCTGAAAAACAAATTAAGAATTATTGAAAAATGATGGAATATACATAATTATATCATTCAAGAGGATGTAAATAAATGTTAACATTGTTGTGAAGTATGGGCTACAACTGCAATATAATAATTACAGTTGCGAAAATTTCACATTTTTTTATGCCCGAAATACAACAAATTAATCAAACATAATTATTTGTCAAACATTGGGCATATTTTAATTATATATATTATATAGTAAATCTCTAATCTAATATATCTAATTTAATATAAATCTCTAGAGAATTACATTTTTCATAATATAAATCACATGTTA